AATTCACTTAATATTATCTCATAAAAATTGAAACCTGTCTTCTCCCTTTCTACTAAAACTGTTTAGTTCATGTGGTACACATGTTTTTCAATGACTGTTGAAATATCATCCTAAATGTTCTTGACATTCTATTTATCTCCTAAGTCCGTGTGCCAGTTCCTGGAATAATTTGTGTACACAGTCAAGCTAAGTTGTTCTCATTGGCTTAGAGACAAACTGAAATGGATTCCTTGATTTGTGTACTCATTTTTGCATCCTCATTTCCAGTCATAATTTACATGTACCATATTGTTTTTCATCTTCATAACATAAGCTAACATTATTCTCTCTACTAACTACCCTCTACTCATCCTTTAAGATGTGGCTCAAATGTCTTCTCTGCCATGAATCTTTTCTCGATTGGTTATTATGCCATCTCCCTACCCAATTGCTTGGTTGAGACAATTTTCTTTTTGCTTGGTTTCAACAGAATCTTTAAGGAACACGTATAATTATCTGCTTGCACTCTTGTCTTTATTACAAGACTGTAAACGTCACAAAAGCTAAGACCATGATTTATTCATTGCCTATTAAAGTAGGCTCTGAGTAGATATTTATCGAGTTCAAAACAGCAATTGCAGACAGTTAAACAGAAGAGAACAGAAGGTCCGAAATAGTATTCCATTTGAGATGTTAAACAGCCTTCACATTTCTTAATAGTGAAAAATATAGCAAAGCACATTGCTACAATGTGTATGAGGCAATTACTTGCAAATCATCTGGTCTTGAAGGCATGAACACATTAAGAGTTGTCTTTAAGCATGAAGATTTATAGTTAATACTGTGCGTTCCTATAACCTCAGTGACTACCTATTCCCACCTTTATCCCCACCGCAACCTGCTATAATCTTAATACAATAACCAAAACGATCGTTTAAAACACAAATGTTAATGGTGTCACAGCTCTGCTAAAAATACACAATGGTTTCCTTTTTAATTCAGAACACCAAAACCCTATGAAATGGCTATAGGTCCCTGCATGAGCTTTTCCTTGACCTGACCTCTCTGATGCATAGTCTATTAGTCTCCCTCGCTCACTAACCTCCACCCACACTGTTCTTCAGTCAGCAGTTCTTTGAGTATATCATATATGCTCTTATCTCAAGGGTCTTAGCATCTGCTGTTCCCATTGTCCAGAAAGTTTTTATCTCATAATGTTACATGACCTATGCCCTCACTTTTTTCAGATTTTTTTTTCTAAATGTCACTTTTATGGTGACCTTCTTAGTGAGGCCTTCTATGGCCACCCTTTTAAAATTCCAACCTCTCCCTATAATTTAATCTCCCTTGCATTTTTTTCTTTATCATTACCTGATATATTTAATATCATTCTTTGTCATTATTGTTATTATTTTCTTTCCACGTTCTTCAGAATGTAAGTTCTAAAAAACAGGACATAGTAAGGGCTTAATAAATAAATTCAAACAAATGAATAAAACATTTCTTTTTGCGAAAAAACACCCAACACAATGAGATGGGGTACTCTGTATTTTATATCTACATAGGCTCAAACGGTGGCTCACATTTTCTTTGATATGGAAGTCATCTTGTACCACCAATAGGCATATAGTAGAAGTTTGAAAAGGCAATTCGAGAATGGAAATACAATGATGTCTATATTGTGTATGTTGTGTAACGATGGTTCCTGGCATCAGTGCTTAGATTGGGGATGGTTCAAATTAAGGGCAGGTTCTCTGACATCTGAGAATGGGGAGTAGTGCCTTTGTCATCAAGGCTGCAGCAACATGCTCCACTAAACTCTGACAAAGAAAAATCTATATAAGGATCAATCTGACATCAGGAACATTTTTTAGAAATTGAATCCCAGAACTTCTGCTATAAGCAGTTTTCCATTTGTTTTATGTTCCAAAGCATCTGAAGCTGTATTTAGAATTTTGATTTCAGAAGATTTTGTGTTTTAGCAGAAATTACAAAGACACCTGGATTTGAACCTACTTTACTAGCTGCAAGTAACCAGGGGAGTTATTAAATATCCTGTGCCTCAGTTACCTCATCTATAAACCAATTCTTTATAATAAAATGGTATATTCCATAAAATGCACATAGAACAGTCCTTGGTACTGTGGCAATGAATGTGAAATAGCTCAGCTTTTGAGTTAGGAATACCTGAGTTCAAATGTCAGGTCTGTCCCTGACTTTGTGTATGAGCTATAACTCTCTGAGTTTTAGTTTCTGCATGTGTCAGATGAAGAAAATCATGTCTAACAGGCAGTTGTGAGATCTAGGAATAACCTGGTACCTACTCAGTACCTGTGTGCAATAGGTACATATAAATAATAGCCTCAGTTGTCAATTCTGTTTATTAAGTGTCTTTTCTCTCAGGATATCATAATAATTGATGATATATATAGTATCTGATATACTTAATTTACATTTATAATTCATAGTAGCTTATTATTACTTCAGCATAATTAATAAGGTCTTCAAGCCAAGGGAAAATGCTCCCTATGAAGTATCTAGAAAAGTTGGCTTTCAATAAATACTTATAGAATTAATAAAATATATAGAGATTATGTTCCATTTGCTTTGTTTAAGAAACCAGGAGTCTATAAAATGCCTATTTGAGAGAATCATTATAATCCAGAGTTTAGAAAGCAGATAACTGAGTTTGTAAGTGCTTTCTAACAATTCAGGTATGTTTCTAAAGATTAATTCAGTTTCTAAAGATTAATTTGGGCAAAAACTTTATCCACATGAGTATGTTGCTTCTGGATAACTCCAGAGGGCTGAGTTTCAATCTGAATAGACAGACATTACAGAATCAAAAATTTCAGTTAAATAAAAGGAAGATGTATATACTCTGTGGTCTGATAAATCAATGACTTCTCCTGGTTTGTAGCATCAGAGAGGAACCTTGATGAGCATCGTCAGGGGTACTTTATAAAGCATTTACCCAGGAGGTAAGAATTAACTAGGTGAAAATAAATATCCCTTAAAATGGTCTAGATTTGATAAGAAAGTGATTTCCTATCAAAATAAAGATTTGATAAGCAATTATGTTTCACAAAAAAGAGACATATAAATGACAATAGTGCAAAAATTATTATTAAATAAAGAACTCACATGCAAAGTTATTCTGCTTTGTGTATACATCACGTATGTTCAGCCTTTAATAAAGTCAGAATTTTGTGTTTTGTCCTGTTTTATATTGTGAATAAATCAATCCATATATAGCTAGGTCCAAAAAAGCCAAGTATTAATAAGAGCTGATTATAACATAAATTTTAATGGGGAAATTTGAATGTAGTTGAAAATAGGTACTAAAAATTATAGGAATGGAGAAGTAGATTATATCAACAATATGAGAAAGAACTTTATAACTGAACATTGATGGGTGCAGCATGTCAAATGATTTGGTAAAGATTTCCAAATGAGGCAGATTATGGTGAGTTCCAAATTAGAAACAGAACATACTGAGTAAGGAAAACCACTGATAAAAGAATTACTTCACTGTCTTCTGAAGCCATTCGGCTTGGAGGAACTATGGAATATTACCAGGTCCTTTTCTGCCAAGGGAATTATGAGGAATTTAAAAAGCCATTTCACCTCAGATTTGTGAAGTGGAAAACACTTTAATACTAAATCAACAATTTAACTCAGTGCAATATGCTATAACATTTTTGGGCATGTGTTTATTCTTATGACATCATGAAGAAAATTTTCCTTTCCTGATTGCATTTCTATATTATTTCTAATAGCCTTTGTTAAGTTGAGGTGACTTTCTTTCTAAAACCTACCCGAAGAACCAAGGATTTACAAATTTAATTATCTCCCAGAATGTACTGTATGATTTTGAACTAAAAACATTTTAGGTTTTAAATTTCACCATAGGCTAGGACAAAAGGAATAAAAAGTTCAAAGTGCTCCGCAAAAATCAGTAATTTTGTGTTCCAATGAGAAATGTTTAATTTCCAGTGCCAAAATGAGGTGAAGTCTTCCATTGATTCACTCTCCATCCAAAATGTACTTATTACCTCTTCTCTGTGACCTAAGGCAGGTCTCTAGAACTCATTTTCATTATTCAACTTGCAACCTTTTCTTTACCGAGGATCATTTTTCTATATTCAATGTTCTTTCTCCCTCTAAAATATTCATTTTTTTTCTACTTGCTATCTTTGTAATTCCACTTTTGTAAAACTGAGTTCAAAGCCCACATCACCAATGTGATCTGCCTTACCTGTCTGCTTTATGCCCTGGACCTCTTTATGCCCTGGACTCTTTCTATAGACAGCCCTTGACTCACATTCTTTTATCCAGTAACTGCCTCCTATTCTACACATGTGCTTTAAAGCTGCCTATCCTTCCATCTCTACAAGCATCCAAGTCATTCCTCTCCCATCACGTAGAAGATGATTACAGAAATACAATCGCCACCACTACAACTGCTAAAAAGGATGAAAGAGTGGGGGTCTTTCCTTTGTTCCCCACGATCAAGAACACTTATGTCAATGTCTCATATATGATTGAAAAGCTTTCTTACACAACGAGCTTAATGTTGCAGCTGTGTTGTTATTTTAATTCTATTATTGTTCATATGACTAAGACATATGAGTTAATGATAATTAAGTTTTGCTATTTCTCTACAACATTGGCTTGGGTGTCATGATTTAAGACTATCATTTTGACAACATGACCATAAAATCATGAGTTATAAGTACTTCTTTTAAAAATTCCTATTTCCAAGATCCAAATTAATGATTTCTATATATGTGTATAGCATATGTGTATTTATACAGTATATGTCTATAAAAACTCTATGTATATATATTTAAATTATTGTAGGTCTATAAATCACACATAATAAATAAAACTGACTTATTAAATAAGACATGCATAGTACAACAGCTAGCTTCATTTTTCAGCATCCAAATAAATCATCTATTTACTGACCACACACTATATGCAAAACACCACGTTGTGAATGTGCAGCTATGAATTACCTCCTCTTTTCTTGTCTCCCGTCCTTTCTGTACAAACCAGATAACTTTTGCTTGTAAAGATCGTGGAGTACATTCCAGCAAAGTACTGTTGTTCTCTATGCCATAAGCCAGATGCTCTTCAGTCTTATCCAAAGCATCCCCTACAACAGGAACATTAATGCCATCTTTGAGACTTAGATTTTACAGGTAAATAAATTTTTCAAACATTATTTAGATCCCTGCAGTAACATGATTAACTCATTACTTATTGCTCATTTCTGTAAACGGTAATTTAAAGGAATTATTTGGAAAGAATGGCACACCAAAGTTTAGGCACGAAACAAGCAAGCAGGCTATGGGGTGGGAAAGAGGTAGGTAACTGAGAGTCTGGTTCCAAAGGACGGGACAGGATAGTCAAAGCAGTAAGAAGCATCAGTGTTAAACGCATGGAAAGTCTCTTCCCTTTATTGAGGGAAGAGAAAGGGAACACCAAAGCGTAGGACAAAATTTGTGTTTACGAACAAAAGCAGAAACCAGAAATGCAGGCAAAATGCCACCACACAAACGTAAATGTGAATTGTATCTTGACAAGGGATTGCATTTATCTGGGTGTTGGGCTGCTGCAGTGAGAAGAGAATATGAGACTGAATCAGGGACTTTGTGAAATAGAGCTTGATTACAATCTGTGTTTTGGACCGGAAAGGCTCTTACTGGACTTGAACTCAAATTTGCATACAGGCAAGTACACTTAGCTGCAGTAGGGCATAAAAGCAAGCAGGATTACTCTCTTAAAAAAAAAAAAAAAAGAAGTCCTACTCAACTTCAGAACTGACCCCTAAACTTCCCTAAGATGAAGGTCCTACTTTTCTTTTGCCAGTATTCCCAGAGGCTTGAGTCCTCCACCGAATCCTGAGTCAGCCTGGGGTCCAGCAAAGTGACGCTGGAGCACAGTCTCTGGCTCTGTGTATAGCCACCGCTGGTTTCTTATTTATGGTGTCCCTTCTTATTACTAATTCCTAGTGAGCTTAGTGACACTAAATACAGCCTATTCAACAGTTACCACCATAATAGAGAGTCAGGAGAGAGTTAACAGAGAAGTTCTGTCTTAACTTCCTTACTTTTGCCTAAAGATGAAATTTCCTCAATTCCTTACCCATCAGATACCACCACTCTATCACCTTTCTTGAACCACCAACCCTAGCCCTAACCTTAGTCAACTTAGATAAAAGAGTAAAAGCTTTTTCACTTTATCTATCCCAAAGCTTAGTAGATGACTTGATAGAAGTAATACCAGTTGATAAAATCACCAGAAGCTACGTAACATGGTGAAGACAGTCCCCAGTATGAGATAAAGAGGTAAGTCATAAGAGTCACCGTGGCATCAATCACCTAAAGTATGCAGCATTCTTGTTCTAGGGTTTTGTTGTTTTAATAATTAGTTTAATAATGAAGCTTGGTGGTAGTACATATAATTTATTTTCCTAATCAGATAAAAATTAGATGTCATTTTTTCCAAATTTTAACTACATGTCAGAGAAAAAGAATACTTATTATATTGTTCTAGTATACATGAATCACAAAGAAAAAAGGACTCTATTTAAGAAGTTTGCAGTTTATATTCAATGTATTCTCTGAGTAACCCAGAACAATTGATTTTCTATGGATTACCAACAAACTGTTGTCCAAAGCACTGCTGCGCTGCATTTCCATGTCGAACATCTTGTCTCCGGAAACGCCTGAAAGAAAGTAAATGCATTTAGATGTTCATATTTTCAATTTTCCAGGCTTTAAAATGCAGCCAATTGCATTAAATATACAAGTAGTATTCTGCTGCTGAAAAAAAATGATCATTCATATGAAATGAGAATAAAATCCAAGTTTTATAGTTTTTCACATTTCCATTATATGTTCTTCAGTAGTTAAGATCTATGTTACCCTGTTCTTTATTTACATAATGTTGAATTCTGGAAACTCAAACAACAATGGAATATATTTCTCTTTACTTTTTGTTAAAAATTTAGTTCAACAAGAAATCTTCTAGTTTGAGAATGTCTTGAGTAGTAAAGTATTTGGGCAGAGAAAGACAATGGGATTTGAAGTAATGTATTTATTGAGTACAAAACAGTTATTTTGAGCATAAAACTCCCATATATAATAAAGTGCAAATGAAAAAGGTGTTAAAATCCAAATAGTTTGTTCTATAGTCATCATAATCGATTAGTACAAATAGAATTTCTAAAAATAAGAGATAAACTAATAATATACTGTTATGAGCTTACTTTTATTCAGATGTAACATTGAGGAAGTACATGCCTTTATTCAATGTGATAGTGTGTTCTTCATGTTTAGCAGGATGTTGTGCATCTAGTGGGACTCAAGAAATATTAGTATTTTCCCCCTCAATCTGCCTAGTATAATTAGAGTCATTTCTAGTATTTTTTTATTTCATAGATTGTTTAGATATATAACTGAAAAAAAATACAATATTCTGTATCTCTGGAGAAACTCCAGAATATATATATACACACACACACATATATATGTATAACATTATATATATAAAATTCCAGAATATATGTAATATACATATGTTTTGAATATATATAAAACATATGTATGTGCAATTCAAGAATATATATATGATATA